TCTTTCCTTTCCTTTCCTGGGGATATTGTCTGGGCTAGCACCCTTGGTAGCTCTGTGACTGGCACACAAAAGTAGGGAGCTAGTCTTTTTTGCTGTAAAAGACTACCTTTCCTCTTGCCTGTGGGCTGAGTCACAGGTATCTGTTTCCTGGTAAGCCTCAGGTGTGGGATTTGGAGATTCTGCCCAAGGTAACGATCAGGATGGATCACTGTTTTGGAAACAGGGCATTATGACCTTTGTATTTTGTTCTTGGTGAAATATTGGACTGTTTCCATTGGTAGACTTAGGAGAAGGAAAACTGGACATGCCAGTTCTTCCCAGACAGAAACAAGCTGGATGACAGTGTGGTCTGGATAACTATGAACGAAGTATTATTTTTAAACATACTGATCCCTCTAGAATCTCATGTAAATACTACCTCAAAAAAATACTTCATTTAAGGAGAAATATATGCTTTCATAAGCAAAATAACACTTTGGCTCTTCTAACAAAGAGTATAAAAATATACAAGCCACAGTTTTTGTGAAGAAATTGGTTTGGCGTGTTTATGGGATAATTAACAGATTGAAAAAGTTTTGCAGCTAGCACTTGCTGATGGTACTGTGAAGCGGAAGTACTGTGTTGCTTACATGTTTGCAAGCTTAGACCAAAGTGTGGGTGATATTCTTCACTTCATATTCATTCATGTCACAAAGCAACGCATGATGTGTGGTGGTCTCAAAGAATCATTAACAGTTTGCCTGTTAATTTCAGTAGGACCAGAATTTCATATGCGTAATTAAATATCATAAATGATTTGTTAATTCTAAAATTTGCATTTGCTACCCAAAATGACTTCACCAAAGCCTTATATTTGCAGAACGTCTAGAGCTGGGCCCGAAGTCTGATTTTCAAAAATTACGTGAGCAAACTTTGCTATTATTCAGATTTGTAACTCAATATGATTCAACAGTTCTTTTTCTGAAGTATCCTTTTTGAGAAAAAGAATCATTTATAGGAAAGGTTGACAGATTGTTATATGAATCATTCAAATTTATTCCCATTCTTATCTAGGTGAGTTTGTTAATAATGGAGATCTTAGGTATTCATTTGCAAAATCTGTATTATATAAAGAAAGGTTTTATGATTTTTTTATTTTTTTCCCTCCCTTTAAACAATATTTTATAATTTTGGTCAAAACAGATATTTTGTGTGTGTGTGTGTATCCTGTTCTTTCAAGTTATTGCAGAGTCTGAACAAAATTGACATCAGAGAACACATGTCCCACTTAAATTATACCAACAGTCTGCAGAGAATTTACATATGTGTAAGGAGTTGCAGATTTTGAAATAAACAATTACAAATATGAATATCACCATTGCTGTATATTTTTCCCCAATCTTATTTAGTAGTCAAGCAACCAGTTTTCGGGAGGTTTTTTCAAAAGCATCACAGACGCAGGGCTGCCCTGTTCCATAAAAGGCCATAGCTATTAAATTCTGGTAAAATTACAAACAAGAATTTACAAAGAAAATAACCAGACAACTGGGTAACTTGGCAGCATTTTAAATGGACTTTGGAGAAGGAAACTGTTTCCTTTGCAGTGGTACACAGTATAATATATCACAGAAAATCAGATACAAAGTGACATTGAGAATGGTCATTTTATGGTTTCTTGTGGTCTGTGGCAGAATCAGCCGGAACTTCTGGACTGGGTACTGTCAAGCCATGATGTTTCATTCTCATACCTGGCACATAATTAAAAGAAGCATTAAAAGTTGGAGGCTCAGATTATCTTTTAAAGCAAAATACTTGAAAATAATTTAGATCTGGAGTTCTAAGCTAGTTAGTTCCAATTCTCATCTTTCCTGCAAACCAAAGGTTTCAGTGAGGTACAAGAAAACTACTCAGGAAGCAGAGTATCTTTAGTGGATAATCTTGACAAATATCAGCAGGAAGAAGACAAGAATTGCCAAAGGATTACAAATATTCATAACCATTTCTTCTTTATAAAGGTCGCAGAAAGGAGGATGAATCATAGTCTGTATGTGTTTTTTTTCAATGAACTATGGGAGGTTTCCATATGCTCAGTTTGACTTTATCTGCAAAAGCTCTTCATCTGGAGTATATCTAACTGTAGTAATTGTTAACAATGGTTACATTTTAAATTGAGATGCTGATAACAGAGAAAGCAGATTTTACAGAGAGGATGTCAAACAACTGTGATATGGGGATTTCAGATTTTTCATAATTTAAAAATACATCTTTTAGCTCTACTTTTGTGTTGGTTTTCTGAAAATCTGAGAATTTGTATAATACACAATCATTTAAATATTTTTACAGTTGTATACTCTCATCCTTCATTTATCTGTTAGTGAATGACAGGTTTTGCAGTCAGACATACTTTGTCTTAATACAGTATCCCAAAATCTAAGTTAATGTCAGATTGTTGCAAAATACTAAGTGGCCTGTAACGGACCTTCTGCGTAAAGATCTTCCCCTAAAACTGTTTATTTCATATTCAACTTGGTCATATGTTTTTATAAAGAATTAGCCTCTGTCAGTCCCACAGAGCCATGCTAAAAGATGACTCCTTTTGGATGAATGCAGAGGACAAGCACTGGCTCTCAAAATGCGAGGGCAGACATGAGGATTAATTTTCTTTTGCACTTTCTTTAGGATGCAGCTTCCTCAGACAAACGGCAAACCACGATACCAGTGTATGAAGGGCATGGCTAGTAGTTTTTGTGAGAGTCCTTCAGCTAATAGCTAGCTCTTCAAAACAAAGTTGGTTGTATCTACACATTGCAATGTCAGAGATTTTGTTATCTGCTTAACCAGCATCATGCCATCTGGAGAAAGTAGCACCTCTGCAAAAAGAAATAGAAAAGTGATGTTGCAACCAAAGCAGTAGGAGCTGCTTCTTACAATTTTAGGTAACACTGAGCACCCATGCATGGTGCTTTGTTTTGAGCTTCCTTAGCTGTTGCTCAGTTCAGTTTACCCCACTTCATTGCATAGTGTAAATATGCCCAGTGTCTGCAATTCTAACTGATAATTAAAGTGAAAAATCTATTTTTTAGAGATGCAAAAGATCCTGCATCTCTATTCAAAGGCCAGGCAACAAGGAGTATCCGGTGATTGTTGTAAAAATGTTATTAACATTGTAAACCCAAAGATTTCGTAATATGTATTAGCTTTATCCATAAAACTTCCAGTTTTAACTGAAAGTAACAATTTGCTATTTTTTTATTTATTGCAGTCTCCACATTCACTGAGTATTAGTACATTTGTACTAATGTACAGGTACACAGTGTACATTAGAACATGTGCACTGACGATAAAGTACATCTTTTTCCACTTCTGTAAAAGCTATACCACTCTGCGCCCTTATAGCATACATTAATTCAGGTAATTCTATGATTTATCTTTACCAAAAAATTCTGTCCAGTGCTGCGCTGCATGAAACTCTTAAGGTCTCGGGATGAATGAGTGAGTCATGTAGTAAAAGCAAAAGAGAAGCAGGGAGAGCTAGTGCGAACAGTGATAATCCAAAGTGAACTAGTACTTTCATTAATTCCTGTTCTTTCTGTAATGTTATCTCCTTTTACTTGGTCATATTATCTTTTTTTTCTTTATTTTTCATGTGGTCTACCTTATACTGCACATGTAGTGGACTTAAGTGGTTACTTTGTTGTAAGGTTGCTTTGGATGAGGCCTTTATTGTCTCTCTGAAACGGTAAGTGCTTCTGAAGGAAGATGAGGCAATAGTAGATGTTCAGTGGAAGTGTCAATCATTCTAATAGTCAGCATTTTAGAATGACTGATAAAAACTAGCACATGCGTTTTCCTGGTTCCTCTATAGAATCAAGAATCTAACCAGCCTTATTTCTAGGATATGAACATGTATGCTAACATACTGACAAGTAATCTACCAAAGAGAGATCAGGCTTTGTTTCAAGAGAAGGTTGGGAGCAAGCCAAAATAGGGCTTTTATTGTGCAGAACCATATGACAAGCCTAGATTAAAAAGATACTCAGAGAAAATATTTTTCTCTGTGGTCATGCCATACTTAACTGCAGTCAGCTTTCTGAGCATGAAAATATACTGCTGAAAGCACATTTCAATTAATTTTAATATGAGGAAGAGTGTCTCAGGATAGTTGATGTGCTGTAATAGAAAAGTGAAAATCTAGGGGGAGTTGAGGCAGCTATAGTAATATTACATTTGGTGAGAGCATATACACAGATGTGCCTGGAGGATGGAAGGTGCTTGTTCTCTGCAGTCAATTAGGTGAGGTAAAGGAAATGGGGAGGTCATAGTAGTTGTCTGGGTTTTTTTGTCTGTTTTTCTCTCCCCAAAATTTAACTTATTAGGAAAATAAAAAGTATAAAGCAGTGAGGAAAATTAACGCGTTTAAGGTTTAAGAAACAAATATTTTTGAGATGTGGACTGATTCATTCTATTTTTATAGCATGTGTTGCTGAAAGGTCCTGGTTGCTGAAGAAACTCATAGGTCCTGTTGTTAATGTGTATGACCTGCTGCTGACAAGTTGTGAAGTAGTTTTATTTCTTAAGTTCAAAATGGAAGAAACTTTACACAGCAGAACTACTTTAAAAAAAAATAGTTTTTCAACTTTTTGGTGATGTGTCTCCTATTAATTCATTCTAGTTGGTCAAAGTATCAATCCTGCAAATAAATAGAATACAGACTTAGAAAAATTAAAGAGCTCGTGTTTCATTGATAAGCAAAACCATATGAAATTACACAAATGATTAGATCTGCCAGTTTATGTGGAATGACAGAATTTTTCTCTACCTGCCAAGCAGCAGAATGAAAAGCTGTAGTACTCTGGCCTCAGATCTACAAATTCTTGCCAGTTCTAGCAGCTATTAGTTTCATGAAAAATTGCACCAATTGTAATGGAGGGAATTCGAGGATTTAGGTGCACTAAGGGCATTTTCTTTCTGAACAAATTCTGCATCCAACTTGTAAGATTATAATGTTATTTTGCATACAGGTGCAATAACTCTGAAGAATTTACTGTAAAAGCTTTATGACCTTAAAATGAAGAAAAAAGTGCAGGTAAGCAGATGTTTATAAATCAGGCTGTCTGTAGAAGTTTGTTAAATTTGTAAACATAAAGCATAGTTTTGTCACTATAGAAATAATAATTTAAGTTTCTGTACTTCCTGTGGGTCCATTACAATGAGTCTTTTGCTTTTTAAAGTTCCAAGGTAATTATCATCATATTGTTTAATAAGCCAATATAATACTGAAGTGTGACTGAATAACAAGATCAGATCTCTTAAGATTTGAGATGGACAGCGTCCAAAGACTCAAAAGCATACAAATAATAAAACATGGTAGCAGTTATTTTGAAAAGGCAGCGAAATGCACACCAGGAAGAGAAGGAAAAAAAAGAATTTGAAGTCACATATAACATTCTGATCCCATTTAAACTAATGCCAGCCTCCTGTTGCTTGAACCTAGGATTTAACCTTTTGTTTTGTTACACACTTTCAAAGCACATATGTGGGCCTTTGATACCTAATTGATAAGACAAATGACCTGAAAATTATGCAATGACCTGAAAATTATGCAGAGCAAAGGGAAATATAGATGAACTATAGAAAGCCTGGAGAACAAAGCTAACCTTAGAATTTGGTGGCTTCAATACATCTTCCTTGCTAAACTTTTTTCTCGACTAAAGATTAATGCATGTAACAGTTCTGGGACTAAATGGCTAAACAAAGTGTGGGCTTATCTTCATCTTTATGGCATACCTTTCCTGTCTTTCTGCTGGGATGGATAAGACGTACTTCTTTTGTCATCTATTTCAAAATCTTGAGCAGTTTTCCAGGAGCAGGGAGCTAAGACCTATCAGCATGGATTAAATTTTTTTCTTAATGGGAAGTTGTATTATGGGGCATGTAAAGAAGACCTTGCTGTTACTTAAGAAATGTTGATGTGACTATAGGATTGAAGCCAAATATACATCAGCTTTAAGCACAGTTAAGGGATCCTATAAGTAGCCATTGCTTCCAGCAGCTCCAAGAGTCTGGAAATTCCTCCTGCATGACTCTTGGAGCCCAGCAGGGTGCCCTGAAACCTAGAGGTCTCCGTCCCAGACTGATGGGCATGGCTGCCACTTTTCCATTTACAAGTTCAACCACTAGCAGGGCAAAACATGTACCACAGAGCCCACACAGAGAGAGGACTTGTGCACGGCTGGCTACACAGATTGCCATAAGCAAGGCAATTCCTTCAGCAGCACCCACATGTAATGCTTCTAGGAGTGAGCTCACAACCAAGTACCTCTTCTCTTTGGCTGGTAAGGATTGACGTTCCCTAGCGAATGAAAGCACACATGCATTCATGGATCCCCCAAGCACTGGTGGAGCCCCTCCTCCTGGGTACGCCACTCACCAGCTGATCTAGTTCAGTGCTTGTTGCAGTCACATGTACGCACACTTGTCCCATAGGCACCCTACACTCATGGGCTCCCTCAAATACCAGCATGAACCCTCTGCCCACTTGATACCCCTACTAGGTCCCCAGAGCCTGCTACTCACTGACTAGTTCGACTTGAAGGTTGTGGGTGAATACACAGTCATGCTGAGTTAGTTTCGTAATGCATCATCTATTAGTATCCAGAGGTCTTTGGCATTGTCTCTGTTTATCCCTTGTCTATCAGTTTGTGTGCTTTTGTTTATTGCTTCCTTCTTTGCTTATTATCCCCTGATGTATTGGAAAGGTCCTTGATTGGATAAAGTTACTGAAGCAGATAGTCTCACCTTTTATATGCCCTTACACAAACAGGCTTCATGCAGTGCTGGTAGAGTAACAACTTGAGCTCAGTAGCCTGTGCTCCATCTCAGTAGCCTGTGCTCCATCCAGCAGGCATCTGGCTGGTTAGACAGCACTTCTGGCCTCTGACCCCAGTTCAGTAGCAAATGTAGCTATGGTGATTTAAGATATTTCTTCTGAAACTGTCCATCGCTGTGCTTATTAAAGGCTTTCTCTGTTGCAAGTAGCAGGTGAACCCAACTCCTCCCTTGCTACAGTTTGTATTTTAGTGTCTTAGCATGAGTTGTTAATGAAGAGTAACAAAGCGTTCATATATTCCACTGCAACTTGCAGTAATTTTGTCCTGGCACATCTGTTTCTCATGTTCTGCAAGGGCACTGCAAGGCTGAACTGGGAAGTTCTAGGGCTGGATGTAGCAGGGCAAAGCACTTAATCCACTGGACTTCATGCATGAGGGTACTTCCCCTGGTAGCAGCACCCAACCCTACTGAGCTGAAGCTGACCCAGCTTAATTGAGAAGAGCTCCAGTCACTGTTTTAGTAGCCTTGTGAACATATCCGATCTACATGTTTCTTAATTGTCATTAGAGTTTTATCTCGTTAAGTTTGTTTTTGAGTGGGTTGGTTTTTTTTTTAATGTTTTTGTTCTGTTCCCTGGATCTCCACTTGCCTATTGTGCACAAATCAGAGTGTGGGAAACATTACAGTGGGTCAAAGAGCTTGTTGGTGCCAGCTCCTAGCATTTTTGGCATAACAGATCTGTATCTCAGATCTTACAATCCTTCCAGTAAAATTAACATCCTGAATGGTTCATCTCCTAAATAGGAAAAAAATGAGGAAGGTTGAATAAAGTGAATGAAGAAAACATTTAGCACAGATAGGATGGAGAAGAGCTAGAGGAACACATATCCAAGTACAGAGTTTTGGGGAGAGATATGTAGAACCATAATTCCAGTGCAAGGGAGAGCAAGGAAGCCTAGCAGTATGATTTGAGGGATCCTTGGTGACCAAGTGAGAGGCAGTCAAATCCCACCTGAGGAAGGTGTGGGCAGGTCCTAGTGAGAAAGTGGCACATAGGAAAGTTTAGGACTGGCAGTGGAGTAAGGAGACACTGCCTTCTACAGAAGTACCAGAAGCATTCATAGGGAACATTGACAAGTGTATTAGTTGTTTGGCCTGCGCTCAAGTCTCCTCAAGGATTTTAGAATTTGCCTTATACAGTGTGTTAGAAAATGGATTTTTCTTAAGAATGATAAAGGTCTAGCTGTTGCATCTGTACCAACAGTAAATAAAATTCTACTTAAATGAGTAGCCCCATTTCCACTTGAACTGTTTCTAACGGAAGAAGGTACTAGTTGGTGTCTGTAAGGGCCCCAGAGTGATTTCTGTGAGCTACTGTAGTACTCCTACGTTGAACAGGCTGTAGATCACAGCAGGATTTCTCCTGTGGTGTGGTGACACCTCGGATGAGTCACAGCAACAGATTCTAGCCCCAGACAGCAAAGTACTGATTGTGGCATGAATGCCTGCAAGTGTAGGCAGCAAGTCGCTACTCTGCGTTCAAGAATATGGCTGAATTTCAGCTCTATGTTGATGCCATGTCTGTATCAATATCTTGATTACAGACGGAAGTTTTTTTAGCTGGTCTTCCTTAGTGGGATTAGGTTTTTTTTCCCCTGTCTCAGCAGATACCCTGAGAGAATGTGTGTGGCTCATAATGCAGCTGTGGATTTTTATGACACCAGGGCAGCAGATGTTCTGTATTTGAATTAATCTTCAGATGTAACTACTTTGATAAACAGCATCCAGGGACTTTTTACTTTATTGCCTAAGTGTTTTTCCATTCAGCATTTGCAGAGTGGAATGTTGAATTCTGAGACTAATGAAAATGATAAATCAGTTATGATGGGTTAATCATTAACACAGATGAATTGAATAATAAGCAACCAATGTGAAAATTTGTGCAAAAGTAGCAGCCTATTTATATATTTTGAAAATTCCATGAACTCCAGGAAAACTAATCTTCTTAAAGATAGACATTATCCCTTTTTCCTTTCTTTTTTTTTTTTTTTATTCCCCCCCCCCCCCCTCCCCCCCCTTCTAGTTCTTAGGCTAATGTATGGTTGCTTCCTTCCTATGAATAAAAGCTGCATAGTAGGCATTTTGTTTCTTCTGATTTCTTCTAGCTTCTTATTTACATTACTCCTGATCAGGTCTACTTATTCTTATGTTGCAGAGATCTTTCTTAATTTGTCATAACACTCCCCACATTTACATGTATTTGAATCACCTTCTGGCTGAAGGGAATGGGCTATCTCAGAAACTAAGGGTTTCCTAGCAAGGAGTGTAGGGAGTGCACACGTTGCCATGTCTGATTTAGTCAGAATCAGCATGGAGCACCTGGACCTGTCTTGTGTGGAAGATCTGCTTCATAGCACAAGTGTGCCTGTTTAAGACATCTGGCTGTTATAATAACAGTTTGCCATGAAGATTTAGGGAGTTATTTGGCAGAGACACAACAGGCATGAAGAGATTTGATATATGATCACTCCCCAATTCTGTCATCGGGAAGTCAGTCGACATGAGACTTAGCTACTGACTTTCAGTAGCAATCCATTAAGGACGTAAGAAATTTGGAGATCTGAACTTACTATGGGATGAGGACAATAGGGTTTGACCATGAGAAGATAGCAAGTCAAAAAGTTTGCTACAATATCCAGACACCTCTATGGAATCTTTTTTAGGTACAATCAAGACATTTTATGTATGTGTTTTGATTCTGTTTTGTTTTGTTTTGTTTTTTTTTCCCTGTAATTTCCCCTCACAAACCTGTCTTCTAAGATTTCAGTTATTTTTAAAAGAGAGTTCGTTTGGCTGCTGAATTTCTGTCTGGCTTTCACAATGTGATCTTTGGGCTCCATGGAGAGTGGAAGGGTCTGTGGTCTGTGAACAACTTCTAAGACTACTTCTGGAATATGACCGAGGAAAAAAGTTCACATATATTAACTATACAGTGGTTGCATTGGAAATTTTTTAGGTGTCTACAAACATCAGAAATTTGAAAAATCACTGATTTAGAATATGAATATTTTGCTAGCTTAATTACAGGTTCTAAGGCTTGCCCTCTTCTTTGCTTTTTAGTCTTTCCTAGGCATTTTGGCTCTGGAAACTGGAATTTGATATTTGCCTTTTGGCTGGTGGCATGATGCAATTTTCTTGAAGTCTTTTCCTGGAAGACATCACATTTTCTTTTTCATTGTGAGTTTTATGGCTGGG